GGGACAAATATTTTGTCCAGAGTGTTTTTGTTTTAAGGGGCAGGCAGATCACAATGAGTCAGTGGAATGCCACCCATGGACACTTGTGCGTTTTCACAGAAAGCACATCAACACGTTACACAGCTCACTGCGACAAGGAATACATGCTCACACCAGGCGTCCAGTTCTGGGAGCCACCAAAACTGCTGCAGAAAGCCTGTTCGGTATCCATCATGTCTGGAATTGCTCAGAAGTTTCCCAGCCACTTAACAACTTTCCTCTGTCACTGTAACTTCATGTTTCACCCCACCTACTGGTCATCTCCTCATACACACATGCATGTGTGTCAGGGCACGTGCACACGCACAGAGGAGCTAGGCCAACTGACTCGCGCCGCTGGTGCCATCTGTTGGGAGTAAGTCCAGAGTTCAGACTTTCAGCAAACAAAATGACAGCACTTCGGCTCCTCAGCTTCTTACTAGGTGAGAAGGGCCCAGTCACTCTGCTCCTGGGAACTGCATATGTGAAAAAATGATGCCCTTCCTCTCTGTAAAGGCTGTGCATTCGGGGCCCGAAGCGACGTCTACCCACTGTACTCTCAGGCCTCATCACTCCCAACGTTCCTCCCTTGCTTTAAGGACACAGCCTTTGGACTGGAGTCCTGTGACCTTGCATGGGTGGCCGGCCTCTGCAGCTCCCGCGGCTCAGATTTCATTTCAAACCCTTCACGCAGAAGGGGCTCACAGCTCAGGAGGGTGGGAAACTGCTTTGCTCATGGAGGTGCCCTGCAGCTGCTCACAGCTGCTACAAAACGCCGATTTCTCCTCGTAAGAACTGAAAGCGCCTCTTTCCAGTGCCCCAGAAAAACAAGGCCATAATCATTAGAGGTCAAAAATGTCAAATTTTGATGAAGTCAGGGCAGCACTAACTGCAAAACTCCAAGCTGCGTGGCTGTGATCTTTCTGTGTACTATACAGTGATTCTGGTCGTATTCTTCTTTGCTGGGACTGTGTGTATTTATTAAAGAAAAGGGATGGAAACCTAGGAAACAGACCCGCAAATACAAGGCTGGAGATCGAGTACTTCCTATCTTGTCCCCAGATAAGGAACTGAGGTACAGAAGCCATTTATATACCTATGTGTCTCTTTCTGTGTAAATGCACAGGTTATACATATTTATATAGAGATATATACAGGCGCATACTAGGCTCTCTAACATTCCCAGGTGCTGCATCTGCAGAGTCAACCAACTGTAGATCAAAAATATTCAGAAAACAAGTCTGTACTAAACATGTACAGACTTTTTCTACTCACTATTCCCTAAACTACACATTACAACAATTATTTATATTACATTTACATTGTTTTAGGTATATCGATATATATATATATGTATATTATTAGTATTAAGGACTGAACCTAGGGTCTTCACACTGAGCTCCACCCTCAGACTTTTTAATTTTTTTTTTTATTTTGGGACAAGGTCTCACTAAAGTGATAAATTGCTCAGACTGGCCTCAAACTTGTAACCTTCCTGCCTCAGCCTCCCAGAATGTTCAGATTATTTATAAAATAGCATAATATTTGTATATAACCTATACATATGCTCCTGGTAAATATATTACAACATTTTATAGAAGAGATTTGTGTACCTGAGGAATTTGATCTACAAGGGGTCCTGTGGATCAGTCCCTCACAGATATCAAGGGACAAATAAATGCATATATACATAACTTTATTTTATTATTTTTACTCAAATACTATACTTTAGAAATACAGATGTCTTTTGTCTCAGGAGAAAGGGAGACTTCTTATTAAGTTTTAAGCACACCTGCCCTGCACTATAAAAAGTCAATTGGTCTGGACTTCCAATGAAGATTCCAACACTTTGAAGCTAATGAAACAACTTTCCATTTCCCTTTGTGAACCTAGTTTACATACAACTCTGTAATACAGACGATTCACTGCAAAGAGCTGCTGTCCCACAACATGAGAGCTGTGGACATTTGTTGTCCTGATCCCATGTCTGTCAAATTAAGTCATGAGGAACCTTTTTTAAACCCCATCAGGGTGGAGTTGCATACTCAGTGAACTCCACTGAAGTGTCCTGAATTATTATGAACAAATCTCCACACATATAAAAATTTCCCAGGAAGTTTTTAAACAATATTAAAACTTTTCAAATCAGTAAGAAAAACTTAGGAGATTCTGAATGTCAAATTCATTTTATCTTTGTTCCAAATCTTGAGATGTTTTTGTAAAATATTTTCTTTCATTTTAGCCAAGGAAATGTATTCAAATATCTTACCAACAGACGTTTCTAATTGTCAGACTCATTCTGCAAGAGATTTTCTTCAAACTTACTAACAGCAACAGATTTCTCCTTTTGTTAAGACAGTAGGGGGCACTGCCACAGCAAACTATTATGGCAAAATGAGAGCATCTACTGAGAAAAGAAAAAGGAGAGAAAGAAGCAAGACCTACGCTAGACACAGGATTCTCCCACATTAAAGAGCATCTAAAAATACTTAGCAGATTTTTCTCTTCCGTAATTCACTTCGAGGTACAAATACTGGCATTCTGCGTGTGTGCATCTTTGTATGTTTGTGTGTGTGTGTGTGTGTGTGTGTGTGTGTGTGTGTGGTCTTAAGTGTGTGGCAGAAATCCTACAGTGCAAATTTTAGGCCACGGAGGAAAGCCAAACAGAATCTCCTGTTCTGGAATTTTAGCTCATACAAGTAACTAAAATGCACTCAATAAGAAAGAAGTATTCCGTGTGGGATTTAATATATATATATATTTAAATCTTCAGTCGCTCTAACAAACATCAAACTCCAAGTTCAGAGCCAAGATAAAAGAAAACTATGGGGAAATTTCATTAAATAATCACATAATCTAGGCTCCATAGGTTGGATTTTTTTAATAAGAGTTTTCTATGTAATTGAGTTAAGCTTAAATTTATGTATTCAATTAAAAAAACACATTGCAAATGGTAAAACAAAGACATTGCTCCAACACTTGGAAAATTAAATTCACCAAACCATGAAGTCTACTGTGCAGTTATTTTTGTAACCGCCATAAATTGCTTTATAGAACTCCTCTGCCGGAGTAAACAATCCACAGAGAGATTTACTTTACAGCAAGCATCCAGCTTCCAAAAGAGAGAGTGGTCTCAAAGTTTACGTCCCCGCCCACGCTTGTGTTTCCAGTTACCTTGAAACCTATTCTGCTCTTGCATGAGTTCAGAAAGTTCCAGAGAAAATAAGATCCAGGTCTGCAGATACTATGCCCTCAAATACTCACTGCTAGAATAAAAAGAAACAGTTCTACTTTGTGGAAATAAAGTCTATATGGCAAAACGAAAATAAAAGATTTTAATACTAAATATTTCACCATATTTATTAATACCTCAGAGCCCAGGGTTGCCTCAGATAATTCACAGTCAGCTTGAAATGTATTCCCTTCTAACACTGTACGAGTCTGAATTCAGTGCACGCTGCTATAGATAAGAGTTTTAGGGGTCTTTAATCACTTCTTTTTTGTGTCCTTGATGAAAAAAACAGAACTCTCTTTGTGCTAAAAAGAAGGACCTGTTGTTTGCACATTCAACAGGTCATTTTTATAAGAACTTCCCAGAGGACATAACATAAATGACAGAAATAAGGGGATATTTTAAGTGGCTGATGACTTTAAATGATATATATTTTATATTAAGGGAAGGTTGTTTGTTTTTCTTTCCAACAAACGGAGAATTACTGTTTAAAAGTGTTTAATGTTTGAATTAGACTTTTAGGACCAAACCTTTCCTTGAGTTGAATTACTATAAATTTGAATCCTGAAATCAATCTGTGGGTGTGTTTGACCCCTCAAGTAAATAAACTTGTCAAATCACATCTATTTCTGTTTTGGAAATGAATGATTGATTTAGTGGGCTTTTGTGATATATTTAAATTATGTTGTAACTTTTATAATATTGTTTCACTTAAATTAGTAGAAAGAATTAATATTTTATAAACACGATGAACTATAAAATGGGAAGCTGTAGTCACATGATTTTTCCTCGCACTTGGAAGAAAGAAAAAACTCAGTATTTTATGGGAAACAGCAAACAACAGAATTTACTAAAGTTTAATGCATTCTGTTACTAAAGGTGTTCTGCAGTTGAAACTGACAAATTTAAGATTAGCATCTAAATGCTAAACCGTAACTGCAGGTTTCTCCCACAATGCATTCTCTCTAGTTTTCTTCCTTAAAAAATTAGCCACCTTCTTTTGTAAAGAAGACTACACAAAGATCTTTAGAAAAGTTTGCCCGTCCAGAGACAAAAATTTCTCCTCCTTAAAAATATCAAAAGCACTTTACCAAGCTCATTCCTTCACCCAGGCACAAGTTTTTGTTTTGTTTTTTTTTTTTACCAAGAAAGCATTCTTTAAAGTATGATGACCGTTTGTTGGCAGTTGCTGGGACATAGATTATCCAAACTACCTAGGCTCTGGCACCGGACACTTTTACTAAGTCTGTATATTACCACCTAGGACACCTATCTGGCAACGCGTCAAGGTAAATAAATATCTGATGGCAAAGACTGTGCTAGCCAGGGAATTGCCTAAAAGATCACGAAGAAATAAAAACAGGCTTCCTTGTAACCTAGTAATGATAAGCAGGTTCTGATTTAGGGGAAACTTTTGGTGGGACCCCTCCCCCTCTGAGCTGAATACACCGTACCTTCCCAGGGATGAGACCGGCTCCTGCTGAGAAAGGGAATCCCGAGGACTAAAATCATTAAAACGGAACATTCCCTCCCCTTCTGCGTTCCTAAACACAGCCCCCTCCCCCAAGAGCAGGCCCAGCGGGAAGCAAAACTTCTGAAGTTAGGGACCGAGCTGCTGATGACGCTCGGCCTTCTACAGGAAGTGTGGAGGGAGGGGACTAGGGGTCATCGCCAAGGGCTCTGCTAAGTCTTCCCCTTGCCCAGCACCCCAGTGCTGTGGCTGCCCCCTCCCGGACCCGCGCCCGCTCACCGGTACCAGGCGAGGCCCTTGTGGTAGCTGCGGTCGAAGAAGTGGGGCTCGGCGCCCACGGCGCGCACGTCGGGGTGCACGCGCAGGAACTCCAGCAGCGCCCGCGTGCCGCCCTTCTTCACGCCGATGATGATGGCCTGAGGCAGCTGCTTGCTGCCAGACCCACTAAAGAAGCTGGAGATGGGGCTGGGGGAGTCTGGCGCCTCGGGACCCTGCTCCTCCTGGCTCGCAGCGCCTTCTGCCAGCTCCTTGCCCGCAGCCAGTGCCGCGGCCGGCAGCGCCCGGAAAGGAAGCCTGGAGGGCGTCCCATTGGGAACGGCGGCCAAGGCTGGCGGGGCGTGTGCGGCGCGAGGCCCGGAGCTCAGCATCAGCAGCCCGGGCGCCGCAGCGCACGAGCCGGCGCAGGAGTACAGGAACATGTACAGCCAGACGCACAGCATCGCGAAGAGCAGCGCAAGCTTCCTCCTCACCGGCGGCGGGGGCGTCGGCGGCTGCGGCAGGAGCCGACCCGGAACATCGAGGCAGGGCCGGCCGCCGCTCAAGCGCTGCCCCATGCGCTGCCCGCGGGCGCGCCCAGGGGCATGGCTCAGCGCATAGCGCGGGCCCCGGAGCAGTGAGCACGGAGAGCGTCCCCTGGCCTGCTGGACGTCCGGGCGGCTCGGTTTACTGACCCCGCGCGCCCGCGGCCGCCTCTGTGGCTGCTCTCCTCCAGGTGGCGGCGGCAGCTGGAGCGGCGGCGGCTCTTGACATGTTGCCCGGGAGAAGCCGCAACTGGAACGGAAAGTCGGGTGGATGGTAACCGCTGGCGGAGGGGCTGCTCGGGAGAGGCTGGGAGAACGCCGTGCTCCTGCTCGCCGGCCACTCCAGACGGTGCGCACGGTCGTTCGCCCGGGCGCGCACCTCGCAGTCCGGACCGCTGAGCCTGGGGTGCAGCCCCGGCGCTTCCCCGCAGAGGCTGCGGAGGAGAACTGCGCAGGAAGAGAGCGGCGGACTGAGGTGGAGGGGGCGGGCCTGGCCTGGCGGAGTGACGCGCGGTTCTACCTACCAGAAGCAGGGAGTGCCATGCAAATATAGGCGCTTGTCTGCGGGCGAAAGCGCCAATCTTCTTTCGGAACGTGGGGGTGTGGAAAGAGTTCGGGGCGGTGGAAAGCGGCCGGGAGTTGGTATTGGCTGTAGGATCTAAGGGGCGGTTCCAGAGAGGCGGAGCCAGAGACTGGTGACAGGAGCAGACGGTGGGAAGGGTGTTGGAGTGACCGTGAGCTGGGAGAGGTCCGGCCCCCCTGAGCGGTGCGCTACCTCACCCGCGCGCATTTCCGCACCGGCTGCCCGGGAGCCAGCCTTGGCTGTAGTTGCCCAGATGCTGGGACGCGAGCTTCCATCCAGCTGTTTCGCAGGAGGGCTCCTGATGTTGCAGAGTGGCAAGGGAGTGGAAGCCGCCTGGAGATGTATCCAGACCTGCGAACCCGACCACCCCACGCTGGAGACCAGAGGGGCTCCTTTCGGGACAGACGCCGATTTAGGAAGTTTAAGGGAAAAGCCTATTTGGAAATCGCTAGCAACTCCCCACCCTCCTTTTCCTCATCCTTTGCCCGGGTTGATCTTTCTCATCCTGCTGGTTAAGTGAGGTGGCTTAAACTGTCCTCAAGAAAAATTTCCAGCCTCCGAACTTCCGAGCAAAGGTCGGGGAGGAGTCAGGAGAAAGGGAGGAAGTTACAGGAAGATGGCAGTGTGATTTTTTTTTTTTTTAAGTTTCCTGGTCAAAATGTGGTGTGAGTCCCATCTAGGAAGTTTTATCAGGATGAGTTTGTCGAGACCTTGGATACGAGAAAATGTTCTATCTTTCC